CGGTTTCTGAGAAGGTAGTGTTCCGTTCTCTGGAAAGGAGAGGACAAGAGAGGGTCATGTCCTGGTGAGGAGATTATTAGGATCGTGGTATCTGAATGCTAAAGATTACAAGAAGCTCTGTGTGGTATGTAGAACTGAAGATACCCTCCACCCCGTGATCCCCATCTCCTGGTATTTATACTTTTGTGTATTCCACTCCCCTTGAGTGTGGGGAAGAGTTGGGACTTGCTTCTAACCAATAGAATACGACAAAAATATAGCATGTTTGTCCTGTGATTATGTTGTGTTTTATCAGACTCTATCTTATTTACATATTCACGTGGAAACTCTCCCTTTTCGTGAAGAAAGTAGTCACGTTGGGGAAACCCACTTTGCAAGGAATAGCGGGTGGCCGCTAGGAAGCTGAGATTGGTCTTTTAGCCAACAGACAGCAAGATGCCAGGGTCCTCAGCAAAATGATGTTGACAACAGCCTGTTTGAGAGGGGAAGCAGACCCTTCCCCAGTGGAGCCTTTAGATGGAGACTCAGCCTTGGCTGATGCCTAGCTGACACCTGACAGTCTTGTAAAACCATAACAGAGAATTTAGCTAAGCCATGGGTTCCTGCCCCATGGAAATGGTAAGATAATGAGTGCTGTTTGAAGCTGCTCAGTTTGTGGTAACTTATTACACAAAAATATAGATAAAAAATCTAGGTGGCAATTTCTATATCTAGGCCATCTGAGTTACAGAATATTTTTTAAAAATTTTTATTTGTTTTGAGACAGATCACGAGCCAGGGGAGGGGCAGATAGAGAGAATCCCAAGCAGGGTCTGCACTGCTAGTGTGGAGCGGATGCGGGGCTTGAACTCAGGAATTGCCGAGATCATGACCTGAGCCAAAACCAAAAGTCGGATGCTTAACCGACCGAGCCACCCAGGCACCCCTGAGTTATAGACTGTTTTACTTCCAAGAGATAATTTGGTCATTCTGTTTCTCCATGTACTGGGGAATAGGGACTCATTTTTCTCCAGGGGCCTCTCCTGACTGGCAAATGACAGCCTGCGGGCTCACCATCTGCAAACACATGTGCAGACATGAACCTTCACTTCCTCACTTAGTTCTGCCAGTGATGCCATTCAGGTTCATGTTGTGTTTCAGGAAGTGTGGTAGATTTTAATTTAATTTAATTTCCCTTAATTTAATCTTTGCTTCACCTCACTCTTCATACCTTCCCATCAGTTACATCTTATTATACCCACTTTACAGATGAGGAAACCAAGATTTGGAGCAGTCAAGTAAGCCCAGAACCCACGACCACAAAAGTGGCACCTCCAGGCTTCTAACCCAAGCTCTGTAGCTCCTAATTCATCAGCTCAGCTCTGGCATTCACGGACCTCTGTGGCTTTGCTACCAATAGAGTTCTCCTTCCTTGTCACCATGATTACCTCTAAATATCATCATCCACTCATGCTTCAGCTTAACTGCTTCCTGTAGGCAAGCGCTGGAGTCAAGTGCAACAAGTTGTTTGTTTCATTGGCCCAGTGACACATTAATCCTATGATATGACCTCGTACCAGTCACCTACCTGACCTCTTGAACTGCACAGCCCTTATTGAAATGATGAAGAAATTGAACTGAGAGCTATCTTATAATCTTTCTAGAACTATGCTGAAGGTGGAGAGATCACTAGATCTCTAGAGCACTAGCTCTAGAGTCAGGCAGATGTAGACTTTTGTGTCAACACTGCCTCTTGCTAGCTGCGGGAACTTGGAACTTGGAACTTTGCTCATTGTGAGATTCACTGTTGCCATTGTAAGACAGAACTGATGATTTCACCCTCTGGTATTCCTGTGAAGATTAACTGATGTGTAATCATGTCCATAGGACACTTAGCACAGGGCTTGGCATTTATACGGGCCCCCCAAAGAGTGGAGACAGATGACTTAAGACTATTATAAAGCCTCTTAAAGTTTATTTCTACTTGAAGAAGTAAATTGACTTCTTCTAAGTCTGTGGCTTTTTGCTAAATTCATGACAAAAGAATATTTAGAAATTTGCCAGTGGTTTAAGTTTGGCTTTATCTGAGGAGGAGCTTGGAAGTGACCTCTGACCTCTAGCATCTTGACTGAGTTAGCCCACCCCATTGGGACAATGGATAGGATAGAAGCTGTTCTACTTTGCCTTTGGGTATTGTAGTTTTCTTGGAGCAGGGTATTTTGTAAGAATCTATTAAATGACCCATTCAGTATGTACAGTCAGGGAAAGTTGATGGAGGAGGACATTTTGGCATTTCTACTTTCAATCCCACTTGGACATCCAACTGGGGGATGCACATAATGTGGGATGGTGGTATGGGTTTAAACTCTGAGAAAATAAGCCCTCTCAAAAAGTCCTCTTCTGTGGAATCAGTGAAACTACCAGCAACATGGGTGCTGGATGTCCATGTGGAGTGGGGAACAGCTCAGCACCCCAAAGGCACTGATTTTGGGGCCCCTGTTCACTGTCTCAATGCAGTAGATTTGGTTTCTTGGAGTGGAAGTATTTTCTTACTTATTTAGACTTTAGCTGCTTAAAGTTTTGCTTTATTTGTATTTATAGCCATTGGTTGACAAAGTGGTTACCTCATTTCTGATGGGTTTTACATTCTTAGTTACACTGGGAGAGCAGGAGAGAAGCAGAGAGATATGCTCAGAGAGTGGACCGAATTCCAGATATTTACTGTCAAAATAGACCCCGAAATACAGAGCCTCTGGGTGACATTCACATGAGTGGCTTGGTGCCTGGATCTCAGCACCATCTGGGAGATCAAATACTTTGTGTTTGCTCACTAGTTCATTACTTGATTCCAGACGTTTGTTCTTGTTCAGATCTTTTATGGGCCCTATCCATTAAACAACATCTTTATAAGCTTTTTATTTTTAAAGGAAAACATTTACATCAGATTCCCCGTATGCACACATGCGTGTATGTGCATTGAAATAAAAGTTTCTCAGATCACAGTGGACCTTTGCTACATGAAACGATATTGATATAATCTATTCTATTACAGTTGATTCAATTTCATCCACAAAGTTAGTCAAAACCTATGAAATTGATTTTACAATCAACTATTGGGTCACAACTTGCAGTTTGAAAAAAACTGTTCCTAGAAAATCTAGAGAACTTTTTGTTTCAAAACAGAGCCCCTCATCCCCTCTCTTCCTGCTTCCTGGATTGCACATTCTCTGAGTCCTTTGGTGTAGATGCTTTGGGGGCCAACCCTGTACTCTGTTCTTGATTGCATTTCCTCACAGATATTACCTGTTCCTGTGGCTCCAATGATCATTGTTACCATAGTGACTCCTGAATATGTATCCCCAACTCCAGATCTCTCTGGAATTCTGTATCTATGCTTCTAGCATCATTCTCAAAAGTTCCATGTAGCTGTGTGCCCCTCATCCTGAGCTCAGCATTTCCCAAATAGAAATGATTACCTTCTATAAACACCTCAGTTTCCCTCTTTTGTTGTAATGGTTTTTTTGTTCTCCCATTTACCCCAACTGAACACTTCAGGCCATGACCAACTTTTGTCTTTACTTTGCGCTTCACAACAAGCCTGTCATCAAATCCTGTGAATTCTTTGTTTACAAGCTTCACCTCATGTTTCTGACCTTGACACCATACCCCTTTGATCCAAAATCAATCAAAATCAATCAAATGGCTTATGACCTGTGCACTCAAATCAGGTCTCTTTAGAATACTGGACTATAGTGGTCTGAAACCTTATGTTCATCATTGCCCTAAAGGTATCTTACGCTGCACTACATGTTCATGCCCCAGTTAGGAGCTGAAAAGAAATCTTTTCTTGTTACTCAGGAATCAGCCTCACCTCTTTGACTAATATGACACTTTAGCATGTATTTCCTGCCATGAAATGTCACTATTTGGATTCATAATTATTTGCTATGTTATCACGCTATTCGATATTTTCTAGAGGGTTTGGATCTGGGAGTCACCTTGAACTTTCTTCTCAACATCAAAGAGTAACCAAACCATCCTGACCTATCCTCTAAACCAGTTATTTTCCAACACTCATATGCCTATGAATTCTCTGTTGGAATGAAAGTTCTGATGCAGCAGGCCAGGGATGGGGTTTGAAAGTCTACATTTCTGTTTGGCTCCCAGGGAATGCAAAGCTGCTAATGGGAGCCCCATGCTTTGAGGAGCAAGGCTCCAAGCTTCCGTTCAACCCATCTTTCTTCCTTCTCTGTCCATGCTACACTTCTGGCTGGAGCCCTTGTCACCTCAAATCCTCCTCCCCACCTCTAGTATGTCCCTCATAAAACTATCATCTAATGGATCATTACCTCCTCAGTGAACTCCCCAAAACACAAGTGCCATGCAAATCAGAAATGCAGGGTCACCTTATAGACCTGGCCTGTGATCTAGAATGGGGCTTGGTCCTTTGCTTGGAACACCCTCATTCTTTCTTTTCATGCTTCCTTCTCTGCTAATCCCCTTTGATGAACTTAACGTGGCTACTCTACTTCCCCCACTCCCTCCAGCACTGATTTCCTTTCACACCAGCCCAACCCAGGCTCAAGAAGTTTTGGCTGCATTGGTGTACTCACTCAGCTTCCACATCCTGCCCTTTCCCAACGCATCCTCCAGAGTTGCTGGTTTTCCCAAGTATAAACCAAGAGACTGGCTGGAGCTCTGGCGGGGATGAGCAACAGATATGTGGGGAGCATAGTGTAAGGAAGGTGGTGGAAGGTGGGAGGCAAGACAGGGGAGGGGGGAGATATTTCCAGCAGCAATGGGGACTCCTGAGACCCATTTTCAAGACAGACACTTTGCTTGAAGCAATTTCTGCATTTATGCCTCTTTGATGGTCAGTGCTGCAATCAATAGAATGCCTGCTCCCCGGTTAATAATGGGGCTGTTAGGTGGCAGCAATGAGCCTGCTGGCTTTGGGATCCATGGGCTGACAAAAAGGCCATTGAACATTGACTTTTCCACTTTTCTTTCTCTTTCCCCAGGGCCGCCACCAAAGTTCTGGCAGCATTGCTGAAATCCAGTAAGCACCTCTTTTGAAAAGTCGTTCTTTCTTTCTCCTCTGAGTTCAGTGAAAGGTGCTCTTGGTACCTCCATGGCTCATTTCAACCTGGAAGGCAATAGAGCCATTCCTGGATCTTTGGGGGGTGAGATGGAGAATACTATGGCTATTCCAAACACAAGGCTGCAAAGAGAGAGTTAATATCTGTCCATGTGGGCATGCCTGTGCATAATGCTGTCAAGATAATTTATTCTAAAGGGAGCGTGTTGTCTTCTGCAGACCTGAGGAACTGTCCAGCTCCTTCTAACAGGGCCAGTGGCCCTTAAGGACTGTTGAAATGAGGTCCAGTTTCCAGTAGGGTTGTCCTGTAGAAGAAAAGATTATGGCACTGGGTGGGAAGCAGGATTCTTGCATTTGGTTCTGATACCAGTTCATGACTCTGTATTTTTGAGCAGGTGGGGTGTTGGGAATTTCTTGGACAGTGTAGATTCTAATAACAAATTTATATTAAAAAGTTGGCTCTCTTTTCAGTTACTTGAGTGATTGCAAAAGAATAGCTCTGGGGGTCTGAATAATTTGAAGATTTTTTTTTGTTTGTTTGCCTAGTAGCCCTGGTCTAATTACATTGGGAGTCAATTTCATGTGTGCAATATAATAGAAGACTCCATGCACTTGGGAGCAAAGAAGTCTTAGCTAATGTTTTTATACCCCCCCCCTTTACCTCTTCATCTATTTTAATTTGGCACCTTGGAAACCAGCTGCTTCAATTGTGATATTTGTTTCTCTATAGGGAGCCCAAGGCCTGTGGGTAATAGGTGAACTTTAATAAAACTTATAAATAAATAAATAAATAAATAAATAAATAAAAATAAACAACCCCCCCCCCCCCCCATCTCTCTCGGTTCACTATATGCACAGAGAAAGAGCCACATCATGGAGCACTTCCATTTGTAGACTGAAGGAAAAAAAAATTAAAGCTTGAATTTATTTGGTTGATTGTAACTGGCCACAATACACAAGACTGTTCACAACTCTCTGTCCTGCAGGGAGAGTGAAAGTGCTTAGTGCAGGTTGGAGGAGTGAAGAGTGACAGGTTAGAAAGCCCTTGAGATAGGAGGCAAGGGAGAGTATAACCTGTGGGTTATGGGCAGGTTAAGGCAGAACTTGTTTCGGGTTTGGCATCTGGGTTCTCATTATTTACCTGCCCACCCTGCCGCTCCTGATGACAGTGCCCGGTGTTTGGTGCAGCAAGAGTGCTGGGTTGCAGGAAGTAAAGGACCCGAGAGGGGCTGGGTAAGCCATCCTGTGAATGCTGTGCCTTGGGAATGTAGCTTTCTTCTATATCCCCCGGAGTTTGGGTGGTAGAGATCTTCATGTCTCATGGGGAGAGAGCCCTGAGAGTGGAGAAAGGCTGGCCTCCCTTTCAACACACACACACACACACACACACACACACACACACACACACACAGCCCTATTTCTCAGATTGCTGGCTTAGAGGTAATACACAACGTACTGCTATGTGTAGAAATTTGAAAGCAGTCATATGCCCATTATTAACTATTTCCATATGAGGCATGATGCATGGACCCATGGGAAACAGTAGCCAGTGAAAATACTGACTAATTCGGGCTTGGAACCTTTAGCCAGGTTTTCAGCACACTGGCTGTCCTTAGCTAACTGAGCATGCTGTGCTAGGGGATCAACTTAAAAAGTTTCTAACTTCTACCCTGCCTTCAGAACTCAGCTCGGACCTTTCCTCTGAAAAAACTTTCCCTTTCCCCACCAAGACTGGGTTGGAAGACCTCCCCGATGTTCCCAGAGGCTCTCCCTCTCCGCATGATTCCTCCGTATTGGAATCACCGGTGTCCACCTCTGCCAGCTGATGGCAAACTTTTGCAGGCAAGGGGTATCTTTGTAGGTTGTTGAATTATTTGCATTAGCACAACGAAAAGCTCCAAGTAAATTTATGGACTAAACATTGAAACGAATGAATAATGAATACCTATGAATGAATGAAATGAATGAATGATATTTACATATATAAAAACGACAGTACCGCCATCTGCTACCTGAACCCAACAACCCACATACAGAACCAATGATCTTAACACTTGTAGTTCTAGTCTCTATTTAACTATACTAATGGACTGTTAGAGAACTGATAGCCTGATGCTCTCCATATAGAAAACAGGTTTTATTGCCCCATTAGAAGGGTGTGTGGGGTTATTCCTAATTCAGCTTACCTGTCCATACAGACTTTTGTTTGTCTGGGTCTTAGCTTCTTTCTAACATGAGGGAGTTGGATGGGAGGTTCTCTATCATTCTTTCCATCATGCAAAACTTTACCTTAACATGTATTGGGGTTTCCAAACCTTGGCACTCCTGCGTGTTGGACTGGATAACTCTCAGTTGTTGAGGACTGTTCTGTGAATTTCAGGAGGTTTAGCCACCTCCCTCGCCTTGACTCACCAGATGTCAGTAGCATTCCCATTTATAATGAATAAAATTGTCTCTAGACACCACCAAATGTGCCCTGATGTATATTTGACATCACTGATGTATATTTGGCCAAACCCATGAGTTGAAGCCCATTCAAGGTTTCAAACTACCTCTTCCCAAATACCTTTATTGGTATTTCATAGAAATGTTCTTCTTGAATAACTGATCTTATAAATTCCCCAGCACTGGCATCATTGCTATGATCTCAAAAGAGGTAAAAAACACAAATGGCACAAAGTTGCTATGGGCATGCAGACATTACTTGAGAGGGAACAGGTTCTAAGCATTTAGAGGATCTTAGAACAAGGAGGGCAAATAGGTTTCATTACAAGTGCCAACTTCCATGTGTAGGTGGAAGGATTCTGAGATCCTATTTGAGCTCAGCAGGAAAGGGATCAGCAGGAAAAGTATTTAAGTAGCAAAGTTTGTCATGGATTTGGGGAGGTGCAGTAACACAACATCAGACAGTCGCCATCTTTGTTCTATCAGCCTAACCAAAGTATTGAGTGGCACAGAGGGTCTGGGTAAGGGTGGTACTGCTCCAGTAGGCTGGGGTTTCTGTGGGAGAGGTTAGTGCCATGGAATCCTCTAGTTTCTTTGTACTGTCTTCACGCATAGTTAAAACCTGACATGGAATGCCTGTCCATTTGGATCCCAGGTGAGTCTATGTCTACTGAACCTAAATTCAGGAAGTCAGTTTCTTCCTAAAACTTACCATATGGCACTGATATCTGGGAGTGTTTATGTGAACCTTTGGTTCCTAGAGGCATAATCCTTTCAGCTAGTGATTAGTCTGGTCTTTATGCTTGTTGGTCCTATAAAAGTTGACACTGTCGTGTATCTCTGTAATTGCTTCACAAAGGAAGTGCCTTCCCCAGTTAAAATAAAGCCAGAAGGACATATCTACTACCTTGGGGCAGCCAGTGCTTCTGTGGAAATAAACTTGGGTGGGCCTGGGAATCTGAGGTCAGTAAGGTCCTATCTGTACCTAATAGGTCTAGAGGGGGGCTGGAGACCATCCCCACCAGCATCGAGAAAGCAGGACTGAGGATCTGGGAGACCTGGAGCCTGTCTACCTTAGCAACAAAAGAGAGAAAGAGGGGGCGCCTGGGTGGCGCAGTCGGTTAAGCGTCCGACTTCAGCCAGGTCACGATCTCACGGTCTGGGAGTTCGAGCCCCGCGTCAGGCTCTGGGCTGATGGCTCGGAGCCTGGAGCCTGTTTCCGATTCTGTGTCTCCCTCTCTCTCTGTACCTCCCCCGTTCATGCTCTGTCTCTCTCTGTCCCAAAAATAAATAAACATTGAAAAAAAAAATTTACAAAAGAGAGAAAGAGGACCTGGGTCGCGTAGGACAATTTTGTTATGCTGCCTTGGCTCTCTCTGCCATCTAGTAGCTGCTACATGAGAAGCCAATGTAGGATAGGTGGATGGCAGGAAGAGGGAAATGAACCAGAAGACATCTCTTGTCTCTTTCCCTTCCTGAGGGATAGCAGGCAAACCAAGCTTGGAAGTCCTAGGCCTGTATTCCAACTGCCTCAGCAATATAGGACGCTAAAAATGAAAAACCATTGCCCATCAAGTGTCCTTTTTTTGTGTGCAGGAGCTAGAATGGTCTAATCCAAATGTCATACCTTTCATGACATCTGTTCCCCTGTTTGGCTCCCATGTGTGCAAACCCTTCTTCAATTTCACTGTACTGAAAGTTTTGCCCTTTTATGCTTTCACTTATGCAAAACCACTTAGCTTTTCATTACCAAAACTTAACAAAGCTTTGATTAAGAAATAGTGCTTCTATTGCAATTTTTTTTCCCTCTAATAAACCCAAGTAACATATTGTCCTTTGTCTCTCTCCATCTTGTGGATTGCTCCAGTCCACCTTTCCCTCCATCTGTACCTGTACCTATATCTCTGTCTTTGTTTTTTTAATGTTTATTTATTTTTAAGAGAGACAAAGCATGAGCCGGGGAGGGGCAGAGAGAGAGGGAGACACAGAATATGAATCAGGCTCCAGGCTCTGAGATGTCAGCACAGAGCCTGACACGGGGCTCGAACTCATGAACAGTGAGATCATGACCTGAGCTGAAGTCGGACACTTAACTGACTGAGCTGCCCAGGCACCCCTGTCTTTTTTTTCTTTTTTCCTCATCCTCTTCCCCTTTTATCACTGTCTGCCCCAACCCCAACCCCTGCTTCTCTCTCTTTCTTTTCACTCCTTAACCCCCCTTCCATGAGCATCAGGTATAAATGCAGGTTTGAAAAATTGTGGCTCTGGAAGCATCACTTGAATGAATGTGTGGTGATGGCAACCTGCCTGATTTGTACTGGCTCCAGTGATGAATCTTCTAATAATGCCTCGGTATTAACCTTGTTGCCCAGATTTAAAGGTCACATTCCTGCAACAAGGCAACACCCAAAATACTTTCTGGTTGAGACCTTAAATCTTAATAAGATGATGGTTTTACTTCAGACTACTCTGCAACTTAAGAGGAGTCTGGAAGTTTTCAGAAGTGAGGGCATGGG